GATTGTATTAAACTTAAATATTTATAGTTATGATTTTAATTTTTGTTCAAAGCTTCTTTAACACCTTTAGTGTACAATTATTATAATGACAAGGAATCTGTATTTTAGATTTTAAGATTTTAGATATTTAATCTGTTGTATTTCCCTATCTCATTTTCACTCCTTTTACCTCAAAAGGTTAATGTTAAGTCCAAAATCTATTCCTTCAACAAAGATTTGAGTGTTTGTACTATGTTATGTAATTGAAAATAACAGATGAATAAAATATGGCATCTCCCCTTAATAAAATCCCAGTCAATTGGGAGAGGAAGGCACGTGAAAAAATGAAAGTAATAGAGTGTAGTAATTGCAGAGATGCAGTAATTACCAGGTGTGATGGGTAGTTAGGGCAATTTACCAGAGGGCTGGATGGAGTTTTTAACTCTTGTTATAAAGTATGAATGGATGAATTGGGTGGAGGGGGCGAGGCAAATGGGCCTTATTCCCAGTGTCAGGTGCAGAATGGATGAAGAGCAATGGGGTGGGGAAAGCACAAGCAGGATGTTGTTTCGGAAGTTAACGCTGATGAATAAGTGGTAGAGCCAAGCCAGACTGGGGTTAGAGCTCAGATGTTGTCATATAAGCAGTTTACTGGCTGGCTTCAAGCAGGCAAGGGACATCAGTAGATTAATGTTTGTCAGGAAGCCCCCATGTACAGCAGGAAGACAGCGCTGGAGAAAAACAGTAGGAGACCACATGATGTGTGAGGTGACAGAAACATCACACCTGTCTGAATATTAACTGAGTGAAACTGCCTTAAAATAATCTAATCAGCTTTGTTTGATAATGGCTATGTTTTGTTACTTCTAAATAATGAAAAGGAATAGAAAGTAAGATTAATTTCTTGGTCAAGAAATATGACAAAGGTGAAAGATAAAATTCACTCACAGGTCACATATAGACACATCAATAAATTAACACTTCTTTGAGGGTGTACAATTTAAAACTCTCTGCTCTAGTTTGGATTTCTAATATTAAAAAAAAAATACATTCACTGACCTCAAAGAACTTGACATTATGAAAAGTGTGGCTAAAACTATGTTTGAAGGTGTATAAAGGAGCTAGCTCTAGAAATATAATTGCTGAAAAAACAAAACATTAAGGAAATTCTTTAATGCTCTTTAGTTTTACTCTTCAGATGGCCCCAAACATTAGACTGTTTTGTTAGCCTGGAATTTATACCTGCTTTTCTCTCTTCCAGATGTGCTTTGGTCTTTATTTAAAAACCTACAGTGAAAAATTGGCCAATTGCACTGAAGTCCTACAAACTGTAATGTACAAGTAATGTACTGAGAGGCTGCTGATGAAGCATAAGTTACGGCTTAGTGGGGTTTCCATCTGTGGAGTAGCCACAGAACCATTGTTTAAGGAGGGTTACTTTCTATGATGTCAGTCTTAAATGTCTGAATATGCTGCAGTCATTACTAATATTTTACTCTTGAAACGAGCAACTTTTCTTCGTAGCCTGACTTCTAAAACACTGGTGATGAAATGGTGATGATGATCATTTACTTTTCCTTTGATTCTAATATTACCTACTCATATTTCAGTGGTTAAGCTTTTCATTTTTTTTTTTTTTTACTGAGTTCTAAAAATAATAACACTACATAGTGCACTCTTATTTTAAAAAAATTCTTCATTCTATGTTATAACCTCTGATATTTTATGAGATATCTGTGAGGTAAAAATAGGAGGTAGGATTCTGCCCATTCCACTGATGTGGAAACCGAGCCATTGAGAAATTGCTACAAATCACAATGATATAACATGGCTACTGACCCACTGGCTACCGAGGAGTTGGAAAAGGCTAAAAGGATCACCTAGGAAGTCTTTCATCTGAACCGTAAGCCCTTCTTCTTTCATTCCACTGAGAAGCGCTTACTCACTGGGATGGCTCAGTGTTCAGTTTCAAGCAGCTGGCCTCCCCTGAAGGCAGCCCACGCTGTTTGCTCTGAGGATGACAACTCATTAATCAAAAATGTACTTCACTTACACCTCTTCACAGGCACTGGAGTTCTGTCCTCTGACCAGACATGCACTTCTGTATCCACAAGATGTAGTAAAAAATATATTTGGTCTTTTTCTTGTTTTTTGACATAGAGCTCCTAAAATCTTTGGCATTTCTTAAGTAATAGTTTATTTTGTATTTGAGATTCCCCTGCAGATGGTAGTCAGGGGAATCCTAGATGTTTCAGAATGGGGGGCTGGTTGCCAGAGCAACCATGCGGTTACAAGGTTAGAATCATCGTTCTACTCTCTGACTTCCAGGAAGGGGAACAGGGCTGGAGATTGAGTTTTATCACGAATGGCCAATGATTTCATAATCATGCCTACGTAATGAAGCTGTAATAAGAACTCTGAAACAACCAGAGTAAAGGGGATTCTGTTTTGGTGAGCACATTGTGTACTGGGAGGGTGGTGCGCCTGGAGAGGGCATGCAAGCTCGGTACCAACTGTCCTCTCTCCTCTAGTCGTTACCCTATATGTGTCGCCAATTTGGCTGTTCCTGAGTTGTATTCTTTATCCTAATACTGGAAGAGAGTATGGTGCTTTCCTGAGTTCTGTTGTGGAAAGTATGGTAAGAGGGAGGGGGCATGGGAATATCTGGATTTAGAGCCAATTTGCCAGAAATATGGGTGGTCCTTGGGACTTGTGATGGTTGTGTGAAGTAACGGCAGTTTTGTGGAACTGAGTTCTTAAGCGAGCGGGGTCTGTGCTAACTCCAAGTAGTGTCTGAATTGAACTGGAAGATACTCAGTTAGTGTTGGAGAATTGGTAGGTACTGGCATAATGTATTTTGTGCCAGAAAAAAACCATCCAGCTCTGTTGCCACCCGTTGTCTGGCTTGTGCTCTTTGTTCGTATGGGAGACCCTCAGACTTTTACTAGGCCTTTTTCTATGTCTTTCCCAAACTTGATGTGTGTGCATAATAAAATTGAATCAACAGACTAAATTATAATATTTTAAGTATGTGGCTTTGTTCAGTGATGGGTACCACATTATAGTTAAGTGTTCATTTAAAAAATATAGTAGCATATTTGTCATCCATCCATCCATCCAGAATCCTTGGGTATATTCTCCTTGGTTTAGCCATATATGGATTACTTGGCATTGCACTAGGCAAGAACACTTGCATACCAAAAAACAAAAAAAGCCATTCTATGAAAACTATATCTCTACTTAAGTGTTCCTACAGGTAGGTAGCTAGGGGTTGCAAAAACAAAATAATGTCTGTAGTTAATAATTTCTGTATAGATAAATGGTTAACTATAACCCTTCAAATTAAACTGCCTGAGTTCAGTTTCTCGTTTTACCACTTCTTAGTTAACTTTTACCTTACTTACTCAACTCTAGTTTTGTCATCTGTAGAGTAGGGATAATAATATCTATTATAGGGTTCTGGTGAGGGTTAAAAAAGTTAATGCAGAACACTTAAGACAATACCTGATACACATACACACTTAGTAAATTTTAGCTGCTATTTTTTCAGTGTATTATCAGTACTATGATCATTACAACCATTACTGCTACTATTATTATGCTCCTAATACAGTTCTTTTTTTAATCTAATTCAGAGCATAAGGTGGTTATTTGGGGAAACATGAGTAGCAAAAAACTATGGAGAAAATATGCACCAGTATAACTTCAAAATGGCTTCACTACAGTGGGAGCCAAAGGTTAAAGTATTACTGCTCTTTAGGCACAACTATTATATGTGGCTCTCTGAAGAGTTCAGTCATTGGACTCATTAAACATTGTATCTGAGAATTAGCTTGCTAATTGTGTTTACAACAAAACATGTTAAGGTTTTCTTAACAGCTATTAATATGTTAGAATAACAAATGTTATTTTGTATGCAGGTGGTTTAAAAAACAAATAAAAAAAGTCAATTGTCACCATACAACATTTTTCATGCCTCCCTTCTATTCCATTCTATTGAACCAAGATTACAAACCATAGTTTTTTTTTAACAGAATCCCATTTGGTTGGGCAATTAAATTGCTTTCAAGGATATTCACGTTCTTACAGGTGAAACCTGACTTAACAGCTCTTCCTCTGGATTAATTTGAAGCCTGAAAATCACAGCATACGTAAAATTACGATGTGCATTTTTAATATCATTTCATACTGTTTGCATTAGTGAGGATCAAAACAAATTTTAACTAAAATTCATTTGAACCTAAAGCAATTATCCAAACATTTGGTTTGAGCCACTGTGTCTTTACATATTGTTAATTCTTCTTCCAGCTGTCCTCTAAAATTGACTATGCAAAGGCATTAGGAAGTGATACTTAATGTTTGTCCTGCTGGGTGGCCAGGCCATTCTGATAGTGTCTTAATGCCCTGCTTTACCATTTGTCCCCTCTTGTGCACTGTGAGAGCAACTTTAAGTCATAGAAAGAAAATCTTCATATGATAATCACTGCAGATTGTGTTCAGGGTACCAGTAAAGAAAGCTTGATACCGTTCCACCTGTTGCTCAGCCTCTGATTCCTTTCATTCCTGCTGTTGACCAGCTTGGACTATAGAGAGCACTTTCCCTGCGTCCTTCATGTACTCACTGTTCCCTCTGAAAGAGATCATGATTTTGAAGAATGTTAAAATTATATTGAAACAGGCTTAATGTTAAAATATATAGCCTTTCTTTGCCTCTCCATCTGAACAGACTGATTATTTTGTAGTATATGTAGAGGTCAAGAACTCTTCATTTTAAACACAACATTTCCTAAATACATTTTGTTCATGTGGTCTGCTCTGAATTTCACCTAATGTCTTAAAGACTCCTAATAAATTTCCTTTATTCCTGGATTTAAAAATTGAAAGGCTTAAAATTTTACCTTTTCTTTATTATAAATTTTTTTATTATTGTAAGATTTTTCACAAATATTTTTTCTACACTGTTTTACCTTTTATGTATTATAATATCATCCTTTCAAGACATTTAATATACTCTCTTTTAGTCTCTGTAGAAATGCTGGAAAAGAATTTGAAGCAGATGGGAAGGCAGCTTCAACAGCTTGAGAGAGATTTGGAAACCTTTCCCCCTCCTGAGGACTTGCATGATAAGTTTGTGACAAAGATGTCCATATCCTTTTGATATCTAAATAACTTAAATTATCAGTAAAGTAGAATGAAAAGTTATTTAACATTTTAAGTATACTTGTATAACCAGAGACGATTCTGTAGTGCCAAATTGTAGGTTTAATCTTTGCTTTCTTACAGGAAAATTTATCAAAGTGTTTATTTATCATGAACGGTACAGAAATGTATTCTGTGAATTTCAATTTTTTTCCCCTTTTTATCAACTTGGATAATATTTTCTCTCATCTTTTTCTTCCACATGCCCTATTTCCTTCTAATGTTCATGCTAGATTGAAAGGATATGAAACCTCAATTTGAGGAAGTTTGAATCTAATGTGATGTTGTGATATAGATATTTTGAAATGTTTCGGCAAGCAGATAAGACTGTAAAGCGGAGTGACTACTCAGATTAATTTCAAGTGTTGGTATATGCTAAAAATTAACTCGTGTTTCAGAAACTTGATTATTTTCTTTAGAAATACTACATAGTTCCAAAGTCAAAATTGAATTTGTCACCATCACTGCTTGTGAAGGTATTCTCCAAACCCAAAATAAAATTGACAAATCAATGTGTATGTGTATATACATACATACATAAAATTAATAGCATGAGGCTTGTGTCCTGCTTAATTTGATGTTTCTTTTAGATTCAATTATCTTGGTTTTGCTAACTTTGTGGCTTAAACTCTAATGAGTAATTGAAGTAATAAACTTTATTTCCTGAAACTAATGTTGATTTGCTTTGCAAACCATTCTGTGAAATTAGAGACTGATATCTTTTGTGTTATAATGAAGTATTACTACTATGCATTATTAAAATCCCATATGGACTTCAGAATTCTACATGAAAGGATAACCCACTTTTACAATGAGCTGTTATAAATTGACACTCCTAATATTTTACTTTAAACGGAGTTACTTGAAGTAAAATAACCACTTTTCCCCTCTCTGTCGCTTCTCCCCTGAGATTTGGCAAATCACAAAATTATTATTTGGCTTGTCAAAAATTTTCTTTCATATGCTTTCAGCTTGATTGTGAATTAGTTCCATTTTAGGTTTCTTTACTGTATCTTTTGGGAAATATCTTAAAAATGCACTCCAGCGACAATCAATCCAGGCTAATGTGTTTGTTCCTTTCCTGTCTTTCCTGCCTACCCAGTTCCTTCTTTTATGAGGTGGGACGCCTTTATCACTGCACTGGAGATGGCTTTTTATTTTTTCCTAACTAAAAATGAAGTCTGTATTTATAAAAAATATTTTTGCAGTACCTTCGCATTTGGCAACATATGCTTTTTAAAACTAAATTTGTAAAATTTGTTATTGCAGAGTTATATTCGTTTCACTCTTCTTAGCTTTTTCCCCATTTTATTACGTTAAAATATTCATATGTGAGTTTATTTTAATCATTAAGTAATGGTAATTGAAGTACTTATTTATTGTTCCCTATAGATAGAGAGCATTTTAGAAAAGGTTTTGCTTGCGTACAGTTTCTGGCAGTATGTTGTGAGTGTACTAATTATGAAGGTTAGGTTTCTAGAACATATAACCTAAGATAAATTTCTAAGCTTAGAGTAACTGTTGTAGAGTCGTGCTCAGCAGACAACCTCAGGACCACTTGTATTCGTGTGACAAGAAGCGGAATAATGTCGGCTTCTTGAAAGGTATGCGGCTCATCAAAAGCACGTAGCAGGAAATCAGAAACAGGAAGGATGATGCTTTGTTGGAAACAGTTTTTTATTCTGAGTACAATTATACTCCATGGACATGAAAGCTACTATATCCTGTCGCTAAATATCACAACCTAGAAGCTTCTAATGAACTGATTAGCATTCACGTATCTCTTGGAAGTCAGATATATGAACACTTGGTGCACTCTGCTATTGACAAAGCTTATGATCATAAATATTCTTTGCTGAGATTAGATTGCACTTGTTTGCTTTTCTTTTTAGATATACTAGTATCGAAGTAATTAAATTCATTCATTGCAAAGCTTTGTTTACTTTAATTAGGACTGACAACAAATGAGATCTTGACTATTAAATGCATTTATACATACCCTTTTAAAATGGCAAAGTGTGAACTTCTTAGATCTTGGAAAATGGAAGTTTTGGAAATGAAAATGCACAATGAGTAAAGATATATTTAACAAAGTTTGGGTTATTAACACGCAAACTTCATTTTAATTTTTAGTGCTTATTAGTTAAAGTACATATCAAATGTCTGCTTCATCAACCAATCCTGGCAGAGTATGTATATTATCCAAGTTGTTAAGGATGCATTTTTACAAGTAGTCAATATGTATAAGCAATCATAATTTAGTGAACTATTAAATACTCTTAAATTGTCCTAAATTGTGATACAATTTTGTTATAGAAAATTTGACCAGTAGCATTCAATTATAGTATATTGTGTTATTATTATTTATAGTATATTGTATTATTATTTTCTTTGCATATACTTTTTAGTATAAAAATTGTGAATTTAGTACATCCTTTAAAAGGCATGAACAATTATTTCATACATATAACATTGATTTTTAGTAATGATGATGTTACTTTACAATTACTAAGCCTGGTCAGAAATCTAATTACAGTTAAATAGTTTCAATGTAAATGTTTGAGAAATATTTAACACAAATTTGAGATGGGGTCATTAATATTGTTATGTACAAACTATTATATATGAGGTGAATATACATATTAAATTCTTATCAGTGAGAAAATTAAGAAAATGCCAGGATTTGTGTCATGCAGTGCTTGTTCCTTTCTTTTGCCCTTCAAATTCTGGAATATTTCTTGTTTTAAGGGAAAAGAAATAGGTCCTAGAATATTACCCTTGAAATTCTCCTTGCACAAGCCTTAATCTTTCTATTTCCTTTTCTTCCTACCCCTTCCAAGTCTCTTAGGAAAAAATCATTTTCCTAGACATTTATGTTTTTATATTTATCACAACTTATGTAACAAGTTACTTGACTCTTTTCTGTGTTATAGTCTTTAAATTTCTTTTGCAGTCCAGCTTTATTTTTGCATTTTCTTTTGTGTTGTTCCACTGCATTGCAATGTTTTAGTCACTCTTGAAATTACTCTGTAGATGCTAAAACTATCTCAATAAATTTTTTTAAAGACATCTTATCTCTATTCCACACTGCATAAAATAGATCATTTTTGAGGTAAAGGAACTCAGTACATTTCTATTTACTTGAACTATAGTTAAGAAGTTAAACAGAAGAGAGGAACGGGGTGAAATGTAAACTTGTATAATACATGGTCCATTTGCAGGAGTGGGAAGTTGGGTAATACATAGTAGCAGATTTTTCTTCTCTTAAATTGGTCTTCTCTCTCCTCCCTTCATTCTCTCTTGCCTGTCTTTTGTTTAACCCATTCTTAACAAACTTACAAGATGGGTTAAAATATCCTGTGCCTCATCCTTTGCAAATCTTCAATTTATAGTGATCTTTTTCTTCTCTGAACTCGTGATACACTCACAAAGGTTGTTGCACAGCTTAGCGCTCACTGCTGTTTTAGTCACGCCTCGGTTCCTTCAGTCTATGTTGCCTTCGTAGTCAGGACTTCCCTGGCTACCCAACATAAATTAGCCTCGGTCACTCTGCATTACATCACAAAATTTTTTCCTCATCATACTTATCGCTGTCTGACTATTTCATTTATTTTAGAATGTAGGTTTCATAAAAGCAGGGACTTTGCTTATCTAGTTAACTACTGTTTTCCCTAGTGCCCAGAAGCGGGGAATACAGTGAAGTTCAAGGAATACTTACAGATTGGCCAGCGGGCTGCCTGGCTGTCAGATCCCGGGTATTTAAGAAGATGTATAAAAGGTACTGGACATGTATGACTGAAGCTGGTTCTTATCAGATGTGTTAAAGGAAATAGCAGAAATCTTTTGTAGGGAAAGTACAATAATGAGGGCAAGATATAAGAATAAATGGAGAATATATTAGTGCTAGGTAGTTAGGGAATGAGCAATAATTGTTGACCAGGAGTTGAATCCCAAATCTTACTCTTGCCACTTAGGTGGCCAGCACCAAGTGTCAGTGGTTCAGCATGTATGAACACAGATCTGGTTGTCAGTGTACCTTGCAAATGGGAGGATTACAGTGGTTCAGATAGAAATTCATGAGAACTTGGCCTTCGTCCTAGTAAAGGAATAGAGAATAGATTTCACAAAAATATCAAATGATTGGATTAATATCAATATTTTTATAATGAATTTTATCCAATATTTATTTTGTTATAGCTCACCTATTTTTCCAAAGCTCTTTACAAATATAGAACTTTTTGCTGGGGAAAAAATAAAGCCTTACTACTACTGAGATGAGCATTACTTTTATCTGCCATTTAACAATTGACACAAGAAACACCTACATTTGTTTTTTTCTTTTGAGTGATGATGAGTTGTTTAGTTTTGTTTTTTTTTTTATTGTTGTTGTTGGTGTGAATGTTTCACCATCTCTTTTTTCATTAAACTTTTATTTATTGATTTGAGAGAGACAGACATCAATTTGTTGTTCCACTTATTTATGCATTCCTTGGTTGGTTTTGTATGTGCCCTGACCTGGGATTGAACCTGCAACCTTGATGTATTGGGGTGATACTCTAACCAACTGCGTTACCTGGCCAGGGCTCACCATCTCTTACTGAACAGCCCATCAGTAATGACATAGAGAACCACATTAATGTAACCATTTATTCTGTCCTGTCATACAGTCATTTTAAACTTCTGAAAATTTGGCTATTTCCAAAATTGTTTCAGTTAAATCACAGTTTTACCATTCTTGTTGGTAATTCCAGTTATTCAAAGCTCCACTTTATTTCCTTTGGGAGCAAGTTGTTTTATAGGTAACAATTATAATAAAAGTAGCTTCTAGAGCTTTCTAGCTGTTAGGACAAAACCATGTAATTTTCATGGTTTTACTCTTGGTCTTCTTTCCCATCACATTTTTTAATAGAATTGTACTATTTTAAGTATGCCCAGGCATATTCCACATATTTCATTAACTTTTGATTCATATCTGAAAATCTAAAAAATACTATTGGATAATACTTACAGCTTTAATTTAACCTACTTACCAAATTGATTCTTGAGAATAGGCATATTCCCACATATTAGAATAAAATTACTAGGATTTGTGAAGTACCTATTTGAAAGCTCAAAGCCTTATAAGCAGTGATAGGGGCAGAAAGTAGTACCTGTAGAACCAAGCAGTTAAAAACACTCATGAAAATAGTGCAGCCTCTTGTCCAGGACCATGACCGTTGAGGGACTCGATTAGCTCTTAACAAGACGTCAGAACTGTTTGTGGGAAAGTGTATATATGTGGTTTGATGTTCCATGACTTTCATCAGAATTTTGACTTGTTACCCTTCCCACCAAAGTTTAAGACTGATGACAGTAGAGCAAAAGAAATAATAGGCACTAATGCAGTTGTAGATGATTAGACTTAAAACAACTAAGAAGGTGCAACACAGCATTTAGAGAAGCAGCTGACAATCAGAGGTGACCACCCCCCAGAAAATGGGGCAAAAACTAAGCACTACTAGGGAACTGGATTACAAGGGAAAATTTACAATGTCATTGCAGATGACTACAATCGACTACAAATACTATACGTATTTAGTGGGAAAAATTATCACTCACAGCTCTAGAGAACAAAGCTTCATGGAAGGGGAAGACTCTAATGAAATGTTCAATGACAGGTTTGGACATGCAAAGGCAGAAAACAATTTCTCTTTTAGACAGAAGTTAAGGATATATAAATAATCCATGTGGGTAGTGTCTCTATCTGGGACATAAATAATTTTAGGTGAGAGTTTATAAATTGAGTAGATGATAAAACAGTGTTGATTTCTGAACTTACTAGGTAAAAGAGGTAATTGAAATTTCACTTTACAAATGAATCACCGTATGTTCCATCTAATCATAGTTTCTGAATGCATTTCAAATGTGGCTTTTATTTACATAAGTTCATTTTACCTGCAACATTTCCTGTGTATGGATATTTCACAAGACAAAGCATATCAAAACCTATCCCATGTGACTATATTGTTATAATTCCTTGTGATTTTGTGATTTGACTAATTATAAGAAATTTTTGTTGCTCATCCAAGAATTAAAGATTGATACCACATATAAAGGCATCAATCACTGATAATATTATGATCTAGATTTTAGAAAGTATAAGGCATTTTGCTATTCAGTTGAATATAAACTGAGCCACAAAAAGATTTATAGATTTTCTTAAGGTCATTAAAAATAAAAATCAGCTCTTGCATTAAAATCGAGACTCCGTATATTCTAAAAGTGTGTGTGTGTAAAGACACATATACACAATGTATCTATACACACACACAGTATAGTATGAAAAAAACAGACATGGAAGAGCAATAGGCAACCCGCGGACTGACTATAATCATGGGTACAGGTGGATTGTGATTGGCTGTGATGCCTTTGCTCCGTTTTGGGAGGTCGAGTTCCAATTACAAGAATTCTTCTGTGCGCCCTGAATTCGCCACCTATCTAGCAGCAGCACTACCTCTTCCATCCTTGGTCTTTCATTTTTCTTTCCCTCAAAATGAAGGGCCTGAAGCAGTTGCCTTATTTTATCGTCCACTGGGCAATGTCTGACCAGAGGAACCATATCTGTTTGAAGTTGTGGAGAATATTTCTTAACAATGGAATATTTAATAAATATTCCACTTTTGGTATCCTTCTCTTGGTCTGAGTCTACTTATTCCTGGCCTTTCTTAAAAGTGTGTTAATGTCTGTTTATCCTTTTGTGTTAGAGACAATAAGATGCCTTCAGGAAGTTTGATTCTCTATGTTCCATTTATTTAAATGTCCCAATTTAAAGGAACCATAGACAATTATGATTGATGCTATAAGAGCCTCTTTCCAGACTGTGGTGATTTTATATCTGACTGCATCAGCAATATGTCACACCGCAAAGGAATTTCAGGTTTTGTTTACAAAATGTGTTCTAATGCCTCCAGCACATTCACATTTAGTCTTCTCAGTCTCAGTGTGCCTTGAACTAAGTTGTCATATATAAATGAGAGAAGAACATCTCCATGTGTATGTATAATCATAACTTAAAATCAGGTAGTGCAAAGGAGAAACTACCAGTTTTCTGGAGAAGTTAAAACATGAATTTACTTACATTATATACAAGGTTTTAAATGTAACTCTTAAACATTTATTTTTTATTGTCTTTGCAACCTTAAATAAAGCTTAAGATAGCGGTTAATAAAATACCAAGTACTTATATGTACTCTAAATGCTATTCATTTTTCTAAGAACTTTTCATGTATTAGCTCATTTAGTCCTCATAACAGCCCTATAAAAAGATATTATTATTATTTTTATTATTATACTCATTTTACTGATGAGGAAATTTAGGCACAGAGAGATAATAGCATTTGCCCACAGACATGGTACTACCAAGTATGGGAGCTAGAACCTGACTCCAGGCTGTCCAATTTAACTGCTATGCTTAATGCCTATGTTATTGATTGCAGTACCATTGAAAGTACTCAGTTGCAACTGCTAAACTATTATTTTAAATCATATTCATAATCTCTATAATATAGATAGGCAAACTGGAAGAAAATTTTCCTTGAACTCAGTTGTAAAAGACAAATATTAAATGTATAAATATTTAACTTTTCTGATAATTTTACCAGAGTTAATTAGAATTGAATTTAATATTTCATCATTGTACAGTATAGACTGAATTGTAAGAGTGATTAACCTTTAGAGGTAATTTTGGCATTTTGGGAATGTAGTACATTAAAACATTGGACTTAAAAGTGTTTTTCTAAAACCTTACTTTGAAATTTCAGAATCCCTTAACTAAAATATACAGCTTTGTTATCAGTGCAAAGGAACAATATGAGAAACTTTCAGAGTTACATGAAAACATGGAAGAGCTATACCAGAGTATAATGGAGTACTATGCCATTGACGTAAAGAAGGTGTCTGTGGAAGACGTTTTGACTGACTTAAGTAACTTCCGAACTGCATTCATGGTATGTTAAAAATTTTAATTTTTTTAAGTATTTGTATTTATTTTGGGTTGGCCAAAAAGTCCATATGGTTTTTTCCATAAAATAAGACACATTTTTCATTTTCACCAATACCTCTATTGATTTGAATATGTTGAGTATGTTGGCTATCTCCCCTGTGGGTATGACATTGATGGTTCCCAGTTAATGTCTCAATTTGATCATTATCAACTTCAACTGGTCTCCCCGACCGGAATATCATTCGGTGAGAAATCTCCAGCAGGAACCTTCACAGACCACTTTTGACACGTTTGACCAGTCATAGCACCTTCTCTATACACTGCACAAATCTTTTTTTTTTTTTTCACGTTTCAGTTGCATTTTTACCTTTTTTGAAATAGTAAAGCATAATATGGTTTTTTTTTAATGCCTGCTAATATGACAGCTGTCACAATATAATCTAACAAAATTGTCTGGAATGAAGTTAAAGACAAGTAAGCACTACCAGAGCCATCTTACAAAAACAAAAACAAAAAAACAAATGAACATTTTGGCCAACCCAATACTTTCTCATCTGTTACTACTTTTACTTCATTACTTCATTTCACTCCTGCTGTCTAGTAATGCCTACCTTTTCTGATGTTGAAAGTTAGCTTTTAAAATTTCAGATTTTAAATCTATTGAAAAATGTGTGGTTTCTTCCCTTTTGGGCCTTGCCAACATTAAACTGTAATCAGAAATTTTGATTGAAAATGTGACAAATTCTGAAGTTTTTCATAGAGACTCCCCTCCTGGCTGATTACAGAGCACTTTTGTAATAAGTTTTTTGGCTATGAATTTGTTTCATTATACTTAAGATCAATTTGTATTTTTGTGGTATAATTTTACCAAATTCCTTGCAGCTCTTATGAAGCTTTTTTTCCCCCTTTTCTTTTCTTAATGCATTGTACAATAAGCTACCTGCAGTTTGCCTTTGAATGGGTTTTACATTCCTAGGGTTTCCTTTAGATATTTTAATAGGGAGGTCAGGTCTTTGATGTGGAATCCTTTCATTTAGGCATTAAAAAGATCTTTTGAAAAGTATTAGCTGATTAGATGGGGGGAAAAAACCACACACATATTAAAATGAGGAAGCATTGTTGCCTCCCTAGGGAACTGGTGATACATTTCTGCAAAGAAAAATTACATTATTCTTAATACATGGGTAAGTCATTTCTGTATTTCAGCAAATGTTTTTGGGGATTAAAAAGTTTTGAATAGCTGTTTTTTTTTTTTAATCTCAGGAAAACTTTATTGCTGAATTGATTGGACTTGGTTATGATTAGATAGTCTTTGAATAAAAGTCAGTATTTCAAAGGAAAACTAGTTTGTCTACATTAATTACACATTTTGCTTACAGCTGTGGTTTATTTTCTCCACAAATTCAAAATGATTCTTTAATTTTTTTATGCCAGAAGTGATTTTGATTTTTAAATGTATTATGTGCCTATATGTGTGATGTATTGAATGATATGTTATTATAATTTTTATAATGTTTTATGAGGCAGCATAGCTTAGTGTAAATAGCAAAGCCTTTGCTGTCTGAAAGAGCTAGGTTTGGATTGCATGCTAGTTCAGGGACTAGGACCACTAACCTTCCTGAGTCCCAGTTTCCATATTTGTAAAAGGGAATGTTAATCTCTTTCTCATAAGAGTTTTTAAATATTAAATGAGAAAATATATGTTAAGTATTTATCATAGCTTTTGGCACATGGTAATTGCTTAATAAATTCTTATTCAGTAAAGGTACCTCAGCAAATCGTAGGTACTTAAACCTTGAACGTTCCATAGAAAAAGCTCTGGCCCTTGACTGACTCCAAGGAGGTCACTTCTAAGCCCTTGGAATAGCCTACCTGGGAAGGCTGTCTTTGTATACCTAGGACCAAGCTAGATAGTTTATGCTAAATATGTGATTTATGGTGAACACCTGTTTTTGTTCACCGGAGGCGCTGGTTGCACTGTGTCATTTAGTCCTCTGTGGGGCGCTGGAGACTGAGGAGCTGAGGTCATTCATGCGGGAGGCCCATGCCCGCGGGACCGACCTCCTCAATAAAAACACCTGACACTGAGGCTTGGGTGAGCTGCCCTGGTTGGCAGTCTGCTTCCTGTGCTGTCACACATCATTGCTGAAGTAATCAAACTCCATTGGGAGAGGACAGTGTGATTTTAATCTGTATCCTTCTCCTATAATAAACTGTAACAGTGGATAAAGCAGCTTTTTTGAGTTCTGTGAGGCCTTGGTAAAAATTATCAGACTTGAGACTTGTCTTGGGGACTCCTGACATAATTATGCATAAAATTATAAAATGCATATGTGAAATAATATCCATTATATATTGAGTATTTTCTGTGACCAGACATTTTCCCAAATACCTTACATATATTTTCTCAGCCAATCTTAATAATTGTGTTTTTTCACTGTTGCCATTTCTTTGTGGCAAATGAAGAAGCCGTGGCACAGAAATAGATTATATCTAGCTCCATGTCACATAGGTATAAAATTGTAGAACTAGAATTTGAACCCATACAGCCTTCCTCCAAAGCCTGTGCTCGTAAACGCTATGTCCTGCTGCTTCCCTTGTTCCATAGCTTGTGTTCTATTTTATGAAGAAGCACACTAGCATTTGGAGGGTTTCCTAAAGAGACCAAGTCCGTAGTGTAAGTGGTTGAACTGGGATTTGAATCCAGGTCTAATTCCGAATCATCCTGAAATCTGGTAGGATTAGAGGGTTTGGGCATTCTGTAAGTTGGCGTTTCTGTTATGAAGTGGTAGACAGATGGAGAAAGTAAGTGTTTGAATGAAGAATGGTTTGAAAAAGAAGGATAATTGAGTGATGGCTATAATTTGCCTATTTCAGATGGGTCCTAGAAGTAGCTGCTACCCTCCCCCCCCACAGTACTAAATTAAAATCAGTAGAACTATTTTTTAAAAAACATTTTTATGTAAATAATTTGAAGAAGATATTTTTCTTTAAGATAAAAATAAACACGAAGAAGATTGGATGGGAAGTGCAAGAAATTTTGCATCCATTTTATTCTTTCTGACATATAGTGATTATACCGCTTAAATTTTAGGAACTGGGTTTTAAAAATACCACAGTGTCAATATTAACAAGTAATTGACAAATAACTTGTATTTTCAAAACCTTCTGATGTTTTAGGTTGCTATTTAATTTCATACTATTCAACTTTGAAAAATGGGTTAACTTCAGTGAGCAATTGTGAAAATATTAGAGATAAATGCTGGACTTTAATGTGTCAAAGATCTGTTCTGGAAAGCCACATTAATGTAATAGGCAAAAAGTATTTTTTTAAGAAAATAGTGTTACAATATGTTTACATTGTTACTTTGTCCACTGGTACATAGGTATATTCCTGCTCATGAATGGGTAAAATGTCCGATACAGTGGCGGCCCATTTTGTACTACATGCGAGGAGCTGGGAACCACTGTCTTCCCTCCATACCTGTCTTCGACTATGGCGGTTTTTCATGGAATGTTTTTCTCAAGTTAAGGCCATTTTACTTGCCGTTCCCCGTCTGGAGGGAGCACGCCCTCCACGTTTGCCTGGCTATATTATTGAGCTCACCTTTCTAATTTCTGCTCAGGCATCATTCAAGCTAATCAAGACCTGTGTCTGTCTTGTTTATCTTTGTGTCCCTGTAATTAAAAGAATATAATAAGTGGACAAATTAAGTAACTGATGTTCTCATCAAAATGGGTGATATACTTTAATAGCTAACTCATAGTGCTGAACAAGTGCCAAGTGCTGTATTTTAAAATAAGGAAACAGGCTTAGAGAGATTGTGACTTGCCTATTTTTACGCAGTTACCAGGGACAGAGCTGAGATGTTAACCAGAGGAGTCTGGCTCCAGAGTCTATGTCATATATAGATGAACTCTGTTAACTTCTATTATACCTAGGAATTACATTTAATAGACTCACAGGACTGACTTGAAAACCTAACTCCTCCCCCTAAAAATGTGGTCATTCTTACTTTTGATAGTAATTTAGCTTGCAGATAATTCATCCAAAAATATGTGTTTTAGGATTGTCCCAGATTTGAAACTTAAGCAATTTAAGACTGGCTCACTTTTATTCAAAGCTCTTTACTGTAATTGACTAATTCATATAACCAGTGCTACTAGAATCTCACAACTAATTTGTATAGATATAGTCAGTCTCTCTCTCTCTCTCTCTCTCTCCCGCTCTCTCACCCCCCTGCACTCCTCCCTCCCTCCCTTTTTATAATACATAAAGAAGAAATATCTTTTCTGGTCTGCAGCCCCAAGCTATACAGACCAAGGGGGATAAGTTTCATGATCTTGGAGTTTCCTCTGAGGAAATGGTGTTCATTCTGACAGCAGTTTTAACTAACCCCCTTTTCTAGTTGGAGTTTCTCAACTGGGAATTGATTTGTCATTATCATTGTTTGAACAATCTACTCAAGGTAACATGCACATAAAGAATGATTTTTATTTAGAACTAATAATCAGCTTTAAAAAATAGAGAGTAAGTTTACATTGTAATTTTACTTGGCTTTTTTTTATTATTAGCATTTTCACCAAGTCAAAACTAAAAACAACAGCCACTGATCGAGTGCTTGCTTCTTGCCTAGACCCTGTGCTAGGTGCTTTACTGTGTCTCACTTGGTCTTCATGCCATTTTTGAGATGTGCAGAGTGTTACCCATGAGGTTAACTGCAGGGTGGAGACCTCAGTGCATTTGCACAGACCCTGCAGAATTGGTAGAGGCCTGCCGAGTGCAAAGCCTGGACATTTTTTTTTTTTTTAAATGTACAATACTCTGCTGCTCAGAACATTTGTAAGAAAAGTCAAAATGAAATTGTTTTTAAGTGTTTTTTTTAATAATTTAGTAGAGGAAATCAGCACAAAGCATACTTTATTTCCTCACTCGTTGATATAACTTTCTGTTTACATTGGTGGATTCATGATAGAAGAATGCTTGCAGGTCTGCTTTTGTTT